TCCATTACCGTCCATGAACAGGCTCAATCAAACCGAGCCTGCAACATTTTCAATTTTGTCGTGTTGGGCTTTCTTTAGGAATTCTGTATTTCTCTTTTTTTTTGTTTACTTTCCAAAACTTGCACTTAAAGAAAAAACTTTATAGATGTTTTCTTCCGGGCGATTTTGATACTATTAGTGTTGTTATTATTATCATATATAAAAGGTAAGTTATAGTCCGTTTCAGAAAAAAAAAAACACTTCGCAAAGCAGTCCACGGAGTATATAACGTAAATTCCATTTAGCATGTTCACAGACATCACATCAATTTTAATGTGTAGCAAGTAACTGTTGTTAATTACGCATGAAGCTAATTCTTGATGCACGTACTTATTAATCACTTATTGTACTACGAGTCAAGTTATTGTGATATTTTTTCATGTGCAATACTGAGTATCTCTTACATTCTGACCCAGCAGAATTTAACTGAGCGCGTCAAGAACGGAATGGTAGAGTAAATCAAGTATTTTTGTTGGCTTTATGTGTTGACCACATACAATAAAGTATTAGGCAAGAAAGGAAATATTATTTCTATATTCATGACTGAACGGCGATTTCAAGCATTTTTGGAAATGCTAATACTTGTTGATTTCTACTTTCAATCAGTATTTAGTCCGATGTCTTCTTTGCACAAGTTAAAAACCAAAGCTCTAACCTAAAAACTTTTCCCGGGAGATTTCCGCATGGCACGGTTATTTTTTTTGGACCGGAGTTTTGTTCTTTCTCTATATAAAATGCATAAATTTTCGTAAAAAAACGCCATATTCTAGATCCAATCGTTAAAACACCACTTGTCTGATTCCATTTTATATTGTTCTGTACAACTATGGAGCATCTTCTTTGTACAGCATGACAACCAAATCCCTAACCCAAGCAGTATGTCCGGAACATTCCCGCATGGCTTGGTCGTTTTGGGACAGGCAATTTGCTGTTTTCGATATTATCGTAGATCAATTTAAAATTTGCAAAGTCACATCATGGAGGCAAAACCCTCCAGACTATGTAATCGACATTATTATTACCGATCACAACTTAATAAAAATGTTATTTAGTGTTGTAAGACAGAACGTGGTTTAGAGAACGTTCTTACGAGAATTGACATCATGCCCAGCTAGCCATTGTGAAATGAACGCTACGTACTTAAAAAAAATTAAAAAGTGGAATGATAATTACATTGTGTAAGACACCATTTGTCGGATTGCGTTGCAAGATCGTTTTTGTACAACTTAAGAGGGTCTTCTTTGCACAAATAAATACAAAAGCCCTAATCCAAAGAAATATTTCCAGGAGATTTCAGCGTGGCATGATCATTTTTTTGGTCCTGCGATTTGTTCTTTCTGTATGTAAATTGTATAAAAAGGAGGCGCCATATTCTAGAGCCAACCGTTAAGACACCATTTGTCTGATTCCGTTGTAAATTGGTTTTTGAACAACTTTAGAGGGTGTTCTCTGCACAAAATGAGTGGCAAAGCCCTCACGCAAAGAATATTTTCAGGAGATTTCCGCGTGGCATGGTCATTTTTTGCTCCCGCGATTTGTTCTTTCTGTGTATAAAATGCATAAAAAAACACTATATTCTACAGACAACTGTTAAGATTCCATTCGTCTGATTCCGTTGCAAATTCGTTTTTATACAACTTGGCGCACAAAATGAGTACTAAAGCTCTAACGCAAACAATATTTCCAGGAGATTTTCGCATGGCATGGCCATTTTTGGAGCGACGTTTTTGTTTTTTTACTGTTTATAAAGTGCATAAAAAACACCATATTCTAAGGCCAAGCATTGTGACACCTTTTGTCTGATTCAGTAAAAACTCTGAAAACCGGACCCTCTGAAAACCGGAATCTTCTGAAAACCGGACCATTTTAAAAGTCCCGTATTTTCTCCTTATATGTTCATTGAAAAAAATCCTCTAAATAATTCCGAAAACCGGACGATTTTCTATGGTTTCTAATGCTAAACATGCACAAAAAATCCTCTGAAAACCGGACAGCAATTTTAAGTGTCAACTTTCTGTGTATTTTAATTTAGATTAAAACATAATCTCAACTGGTGACATGTTCAGTTAACAATTAATGATCACCTCCTTTTAATCTATGCAGGTGTGAAAACACTTGTCAGTGTGTGGCAATTAAATTAAAGCTCTTTCATCATAATTGTGTCTTTCCCTGTATAGGTATGATTTTTTTTTTTAAAATATGGAATGTCTAAAAGAATTGGGAATCTTTTGATAAATGATTCCTGATTTGCTTACAATTTTGACCTTGAAGTTATCTTTGTTTGGATATTAATTATATGCAAAAATAGTAACACTAAATTCCATTAATTACATATTTCAAAAGATATATTTCAAACAATGTGTTGTTTTAATTTCTGATTTTCAGAATTTTATTCATGGATTTGCATAATGAAATAACTTAAGACATTGATTGCAGAAAGAAATTAAAATATGACTTAGACAAAAGGTTTGAAAAGTAAATACAAAATGATTGAACAAAATCACTGTTCAAATTCATCATAATTATCAATAAATGTATAAAACCTCTGAAAACCGAAATCCTCTGAAAACCGGACTTTTGGTTAAGTCCGGACAGGGTCCGGTTTTCAGAGTTTGTACTTGTTGAACTTACAGGTTATGCCTCGAATTGCCGTTCTGTCAGTGAACCGTTGCTTCATTCTTTTAATCTTCATGGGATCCTTCGATGTTAGTTCCGTGAAAAATGGTATAAAATAGAGAGAGAGAAAAAATCGAATCCCTTAAGAACGTCTAAAGCAGCTAAAGGAAAAGGCTTGGCTCAATTGAACACGTGTCCACGTTCCTCTAATAGTTGACAAAATGAAAATATGCTTTTGATACATAGCTAAAGACCCGTCATTTTGCAGGGGATAATTTTTTAATCAGAAATCAAACAAACGGTAAGATGACAAAAATAATCACATTGCATAAAATAGTGAATAATTGAAGTCGGCTAAGCATGATAAAATGGTGAAAAGTTTAATGTTGTATACTACTTTTGCTTGAATTTGCTTTTATAAGGGAGCGGGTATTGCATGCTAAAGTCTTAGGATCATCCCGACACCGGCTTAAGAAGTATACAGAATTCAATATACGTGTATATGTTATACTTGAAAATTAAGACGACAGCATGAAGATTAATATAGATCTATACAAACTTTTGAATTCACATTTTTGGCATTACAATGTCACACATTATTCTTTTTGTTTCGATTGCTCGTTGGGGCTCAAACATGTAATCAAAACAAAAGTTTGATAGTTAATCAGACTAGCAACTGTTACTATGCACATTTCGTATCGGTGATTCTATTTTGAGAAATATCTTTGTCCATGTTTGTCTATGATCACAAAATGGTGCCATCTTTAAAAGAAATTGGCACCATCTTCTCAAATTCCATAAAAATGCAATACCAATCAAGAAGCTTAATTTCTCAAGACGGGCATCTGCAGTGGATATGGATCCGTAAGTCAAAATAATCGGCTGTCTTATTTTTTTTTAATCAGCATTTCAATGTTTCATATTTCATTACCAGATTATAATAAAATAGAATCATATTAAATATCAATTAATTTTGTTTATTTATGCACTTATCAACATTAAAGTTATAATTATTTATACATTTGTGTATTTACTTATTCTAACAATTAAGTTTTAAAGTACAAAATCAGTAAAATTAATGACTTTGAAAAATTATTGTTCTAATATTTTACGCCATATATATTTTACAAAATCCAAAATTCACAACTTCAATTTTATTATGAAAAACTATAATACAGATATCTATATTTATCTATCATTTTGTAAAAGTCTAATTGCTATTCATTGAATTAAAAGGTAACTGCTTAATACATATCATAGGTCTAGTGCACTACAAAGTGCACTTATGAAGTGCACTAGTAGTGCACTTTGAAGTGCACTAGTAGTGCACATCTAGTGCACTCCTAGTGCACTTTGTGTAACCTTTAGTGTGAACTCAACTGTAGTTCACGTCATCAAAAGATAAATTACAGCTTTAACCACAAAATGATCATTTGAGTATATAGTTTTTCCTATTATAAAAAGAAGAGAAACGCAGTGAAATAAACGAAGCAAAGTTACATGCAGATAAGACTGTAGCAGGAAATCAGATATTTAAACTAAACTTGACATAACAATATTATTATGTGGTCTGCCCGGTGCAGTCTTCACAAATCAGATAAATTATAGCTGGTATATTTCATTGACCTCACTTTAAAATTATGTGAGAAAAATGTCTTATGTTTATAATACAAAATGTATGCATCAATTATGCTATGAATAAATTATATAATGCAATTAGATTATGTAGGGATGAGTTCAGCATTCTAAAATAGTTTTGTTTCTTTCTATTTCCTCACTTTTATCATTTTTATCTTTACACACTCGACCAATTTTGTTATATTAAATAACCAATTTTGTTATATGAAAGTTATAAGTTTTATTAGAAGCACCGGAGTAAATAAAGTAAATATGATATATAAAACTTTGACTTCGTGGCGTCAGCTGATGTAAATGTTGCTATAAATTGTAGCCCGGTCCATTTTTGCTGTATCTCTTTCTGAATATCTTTGCTGAACCCCCAATCCTCCTTGGACAAACCATTTCAAATAACCAACCCCTTTGGACAGATACCTAGGGAAGGTTATTTTTTGCTGAAAAGACCACCAAGACAAAACCACTTTAAATAACCATCATGGACGGATATCCCCTGTACACCCTATATTGGAGGCATTCTTGCTGAACATGACCCCGTGGACAGATGATATTTAATTTTTTTAAACTATACGTATTGCTTATTTCAGAAAAGGTACGTAGAAACATTATAATTTTGATATAAAGTGGGGACAGTGTAGTTAAAAAGGTCTTAGATGGTCTATCTTATACAATTGGCTTGATAGTATTTAGTACCTCGAAACCTATGTTGATAGGTTACGTCCCTTTGAAACTCTTCAAAGACAAAGAAAATTGCAACTGAACAGAAAAAAATTGCGGGTTAAATACGTGGAATGCACGAAAATAACAGTCCTACTTTTAACATTGTAAGTAAGCTTCCTTAATATATGTTATTTTTATAACACCCGAAAGTAGACTTATAACTAGACAAACAATTACAACTGTATTTAGCGAGATGAAAAAAAGTAGGTCAGTTTGACTTTAAATTGGACGGTGCCGGTGGGTGGAGTAAACAGCAATTTTGTCAAACTGAATCATTTAGGAGTTGCTTTACTGTTATTTTAAATCTGGATAACTGGGCAGTCGCCTGTGTAAGACTGCACTCTATATTTCAGGAGTAAAAGTTGTGTAATATGAATAAGGCAAAGTCTCTAATCGAGCTCTGACACAATTTATCCACAGCGACAGGACACGGGAGCTTCACGTCATTCTATCAAATTACTACACACTCACCTCTGCACTCTGCCGATTGTATGATTTACTCAACATTTTAACACATTACTCTCAGTATTTTTTTACTTTTAACGAGTGTAGGACAAAAGCCCCCCGGAAAAGAGTCAACTCGGCCCTATACCAACTCGGCACGGGTCAACTCGGCCCACTTTACAAAAATATATAGGCCTATAACGTATTTACTTTGCTTTTCATGTTGTTAAGGTCAATGAATAATAAGAAATATCTTATTATTATTATATAATTATACATTGTACCTCTGCTGAAATAAAGTATATTTAGAAAAAAAAGTTATGTATTTGTCTTGCAGATTCGATAAATTAATATAGACACAGGCACGATTATCGAACCTGAGAGGAAAAAATATGAACAGATTGATAAAATAACTTCATATTTTTTCTTCCCAGGTCCGATACTTGTGCCTGTGAATATACATGTAGATATAATAAAAATGTGTTTCCTTAGATGCATTTTGTTTGTAAAGTAATTTTCAAAAAAATATGAATTACTTAATAGCATAAGCTTCTAATTAATTGCAGGTGGTCACTAATCAAATTTGAATGAATGAGTCAATCATAATTATCACCTAATTAATCGGTACCTTTAACATACACATTGATTGATAATAATAGCCCGTGACAGTAGGAGTCCTTTGATGTCCTTTACCCATTTTTAAAAGTGGGCCGAGTTGACCCCTGCCGAATTAGAATAGGGCCGAGCTGACTCGGGGCCAAGTATGTTTTAGGGCCGAGCTGACCCGGATTCAAGCCCCCCCCCCCCCATCTAAAAATGACATGGTGGACAAAAGCCTTCCTATTAAATTTACACATAGGACAAAAGCCCCCCATCAAAAATACAGGTAGGACAAAAGCCCCCCCCCATTCCATCAAACAAAAGCCCCCCTAAAGTTTATAGACCAGACTGATTACTATCTTTTTCACATGCACACTGTTAGGGAACTTGGGTTATATATATACTTCAAATAAATCTAAACATGTATGTGCCTTTCACTTTTATTTCCTTGATAAGCGTTGATAAGCGATTCTCTGAAAATATTCATTTACATTTGTACTGTACAATATATAATAAACATAAAAACATTCATCATGTTCATATCGTCAATGACTTATATACAGATTACACAATAAATCAAATTAGAACTTTTGTACCTTTAAATTAAAATCATAATGTAAATTATTTTTTAAAACAATTGCATTTATTTGTTAAAATAAACATACCGATTTGACTTGACTCAATACATCAAGTTGCGGATTTAAACTGACGAGATTCTCAATAACAATTGTTTGATGGACTGGGGGGGGGGGGGGGGGGGCTTTTGTACTACCTGTATTTTTTAGGGGGGGGGGGGCTTTTGTCCTATTGTGTAAATTTCATGGGGGGGACTTTTGTCCACCTTGTCATTTTAGATGATGGAGGGGGGCTTTTGCCTGGGGGGGGCTTTTGTCCATATCCCTGCATGGACAGCAACCTTTAGAAATCTGACCTGTTAACCTGACTTAACCTCGCAGCCACTTGATAACATGATTTCTGAATGAAATTGTTAAACTTTAAGCATTGTTCCTGTTATGAAGATTAACAATTGAAAATGTATTTTATTTCAGGAATAGAGAGCACATATAAAGAACTGAAGAATTCTATGCTGAGTTTGTTTTGAGTTGGTGCCTATGGTGTCCTATTGTGTGATCTTGGATGTGACGGTTCCTAGTTGAATCCTTGCCAGCCTCTAGAATTCATTTTTTATGCTGAACTATAAATAAGAATAATGGCAGGATTGTCGTCAGATTTAGAAGTGTTAAAAGACATCCCGGGTTACAAGGCTATCCTCAAATCTGTACTAAAGTCACAGATTCAACTTCTGGTAAGTTAAGCTCACTTTCTTTTTTAGTGGTTCTGTTTTTGAAAGAAAGGCCAATTTGATGAATTCTGGCAGTTATTTATGGCAGTCTTTTTTAACAGTTACTAGCTCATTTCTCTAAGTACTGTAAGTAAAGTTTATTTTATATGGAACTCTTTAAAAGGCAAGATATATGAATAAAAACATATATAGTATGTAATTTCCCTGTATTTTTGGTTGGTACATTCAGTGATTCTCCTGCTTATATAACAGAGTCAGATACAGAGCCTCTTCCCAATTGAAATTTTCTTTAAAATCATGCAGTTTTCCCAAAAATCTTAACTTAAACCTGCTTTTTAACTCCCCAAATTAGCAATTTTAGCGATAATTTTCCCCAAAATCGAGAGGCTAATGCCTCTTCCCAATTAAGTGAAAAAAATCACTGACATTTAACAGCATGAACATATCTGATTAAAAAAGTTATTTCAGTCTGTGTAGTCATTAATGATTAGAGCCTGCAACTTAAGAACTAAAGCACTTGCCACAACAATAGAATAGAAACACCTTGATAGTGTTGATATTTATCATCTTATTTAATACTTTACACAAATATCAGCCTGTTTCCTTCTGTCCTTATCTCATCTGGCTTAAGCTAACATAGATCTTTGCCTGTTTAATTTTGTCCTTGTATCAACTCACTTTCCTTTACATTGATCTCAACATGTTTCCTTGGGGCCTAAAATTTCATCTAACTTTACATAGATTAATTTATACAAATTTATTTTAGTTTTGATTGTTTTGGAAACTTTAAGCCTTTTGAAACAGTCTGAAATCTGTTCCTGAAACCAACAAGTACTTAGCAATGAGTGTAAAGTTTCTTGCTCAAGGAAACAATGGCTTGCCCCTAACAAGTTTTGAACCAACAGTTTGGTCACCAATCCTTAGATTACTTTTCTAATGCACTAACCACGCTACCACTTTATGTAGATGTCGAACTGTTTCCTTCAACCTGATATCATGTCACCTAACTTTACATAGATCTTGACCTGTTTCCTTCAGTCCTGATATCATCTCACCTAACTTTACATAGATCTCGACCTGTTTTCTTCAGCCCTGATATCATCTTACCTAACTTTACATAGATCTTGACCTGTTTCCTTCAGGCCTGATATCATCTCACCTAACTTTACATAGATCTCGACCTGTTTCCTTCAGGCTTGCTATTATCTCGCCTAACTTTACATATATCTTGACCTGTTTCCTTCAGGCCTGATATCATCTCACCTAACTTTACATAGATCTTGACCTGTTTCCTTCAGGCTTGCTATTATCTCGCCTAACTTTACATATATCTTGACCTGTTTCCTTCAGGCCTGATATCATCTCACCTAACTTTACATAGATCTTGACCTGTTTCCTTCAGTCCTGATATCATCTCACCTAACTTTACATAGATCTCGACCTGTTTTCTTCAGCCCTGATATCATCTTACCTAACTTTACATAGATCTTGACCTGTTTCCTTCAGGCCTGATATCATCTCACCTAACTTTACATAGATCTCGACCTGTTTCCTTCAGGCTTGCTGTCATGTCTCCTAACTTTACAAGGATCTCATTCTCGACCTGTTTCCTTCAGGCCTGATATCATAATACCTAACTTTACATAGATCTTGACCTGTTTCCTTCAGGCCTGATATCATCTCACCTAACTTTACATAGATCTCGACCTGTTTCCTTCAGGCCTGATATCATCTCACCTAACTTTACATAGATCTCGACCTGTTTCCTTCAGGCCTGATATCATCTCACCTAACTTTACATAGATCTTGACCTGTTTCCTTCAGGCCTGATATCATCTCACCTAACTTTACATAGATCTTGACCTGTTTCCTTCAGGCCTGATATCATCTCACCTAACTTTACATAGATCTCGACCTGTTTCCTTCAGGCCTGATATCATCTCACATAACTTTACATAGATCTCGACATGTTTCCTTCAACCTGATATCATTTCACGTAAGTTATCATAGATCTTAGGTTTTTTCCTACAGTCCTGATGCAATGTCTATTCTAGGATTCCAAAAAGCGGGGGAATTTTATCGAAAAGTGAGAATTTATTACATTTGTTGATCTTTTTCCTTCTTTCTCTATGTGAATTTTTCCCAAAAAGGGTAATTCTCAAAAATATGAGTGAATCCCCCCATCCACCCTCCTAGAATAGACACTGCCTGGATAACAAAATTCAGTATGCTTGTACTTTTAGAACAGAACAATGTTGTACATGTTATAAATAATAGTTGTATGTAAAATAGCAGAGCATAAACATGCTGGAATATCAAAACAGGATAATGAAACCACTTAGGTATGCGCTTAATTGAATAGGTCTGCAAAAGTTTTTTACCACATTGGAATGAAATTAAAGAAACATTTTTCTTGTTATTATAATGTATGTAATTATACATGTAATGATGTTTATTGCAGATAGAGCAGTTATCTGACCACACTGGGGAAGAGACCATTATACTGACAGCCAGTGTACATGATGGCACCCTGTCACATCTTGGCTCGATCACAGGCAAAGGCTTCCTGGACGGAAGAGATGAAATCAAATCTCAATTCTTGGCATTCTGTCTCAAAAGTAAGTGCTTGCAAGAATTTGAAAAACAGTCACACTAACTTGGTAGTGAAGTTGTAATCGTCTAGCGGGGCATCATTTCTCTTTTACAGTTAACCTGAGACATTGAGTCTACCAGTAATGATAGTTTTTTACCTGATACTTTTTCTTTGGGTTTTATGTCGTAACAACGCACTGTAGGTCAGACAGTGTTTTTTGAGCTTTAATGATGGAGGAAGACCTCAGGTGCCCTTCTGTGCATTATTCCAGGCTCAAACAGACACCTGAGTAGAGCCACAAATTTTCCTTAACACTTCTGATTCAGAAATATTAAGGGGTCAGTAGTCGATCAAAGGTTGTGGTAATTACTAGATAGTTTTCAAAGAAAGTCGGTTAGGTGGATTGACCACCGAAATATGACCTAAAACTAAAATTCAAAATTATTACTTGTCCGTAAAAGCTATGTGACAACCTGTGCAATATGGACAATTGATTTTGTCGCCTCTGCTACCATTTAACTAATGTACTACCAATTCCATTAAACTGTTGTAAAAGTGTACTACTAATAGAATGTGAAGTGTACTACCCACAGTGTTATTAAGTTTAAATTTAATACCGTTAAACTGTTGTTAAAGACGTTTTCGGTAGTTTTCTGTGCGCATCGTTATGCGCTTCCAAGAAAGATAATCACGGATAATTACTCTTCAAATGAAGGTCAAGTTGAATAGTATTTGGATAAGTGTTTAAATTTCAGCTATAAGCAAATAATGAGTAAATAATACAGAATATATATTTCTAAATGTTCAAAAGGAGATCGATTCAAAAGAATAAGAGGTTGTTTAGACAACATCACATAAAGGATTTCTACAAGCATTAGTACGACAGCATTGATGATAATTCTGCGCGCGTTACCCCACCCACTTGTGGTATAGTGACGAAAGTGCGTGACAGCGTCACGACTTGATTACTGGCAGACATCTGGGCAAAGAAGTTTAAAATGATATATTTTAAAAGTGTTGAATAAAAAAACAAAATTAATATCTAAGAAATGTTCCGAATTTCATTATTTTCTTTGTAAATTTATGAATACTTGCTTACTGTTCGGGTATGTTAGTCGAGTGAAAAAATAATATATTGTTGAACCAGGTTTTCCGAAGGAAAAAACTGGTTATTAGATTGAGGTATGTCGGCGGGCGGGCGGGCGGGCGGATGGGCGGGCGGGCGGGCGGGCGTAAACAATTTCTTCTGTGCGCAACTCCTCCTACATTTCTCAACGGATTTTTGACCAAACTTTCACAGAAGCTTTGTCATCAAGTGCCCTGGCGCATATTGTCGGGGTTTTGCGATTAGATAATATTTGACCTAATTATGGCCCTTTGTTTTTTTTCCTTATATAAAATATATAGTGAACAATTTCTTCTGTGCGCAACTCCTCCTACATTTCTCAATGGATTTTGACCAAACTTTCTCAGAAGCTTTGTCATCAAGTGCCCTGTCACATATTGCCAGGGTTTTGCAATTGGTATATATTTGACCTAATTATGGCCCTTTGTTTTTTTTCCTTATATAGAATATATAGTGAACAATTTCTTATGTGCGCAACTCCTCCTACATTTCTCAATGGATTTTGACCAAACTTTCTTAGAAGCTTTGTTATGAAGTGCCTGGCACATATTGTCGGGGTTTTGTGATTGGATAATATTTGACCGAATTATGGCCCTTTGTATATTTTTTCCTTATACAGAATATATAGAGAACAATTTCTTCTGTGCTCAACTCCTCCTACATTTATCAACGGATTTTGACCAAACTTTCTTAGAAGCTTTGTTATGAAGTGCCTGGCACATATTGTCGGGGTTTTGTGATTGGATAATATTTGACCGAATTATGGCCCTTTGTATATTTTTTCCTTATACAGAATATATAGTGAACAATTTCTACAGTGCGCAACTTCTCCTACATTTCTCAATGGATTTTGACCAAACTTTCACAGAAGCTTAAAAGTCATCAAGTGCCCTGGCGCTCACTAAATTCCCATGTTTCTTCCAAGACATCATTCAAGTATTTTTTTAAAATTGTGAACATACTTTTCTTGATATCGCACAAAACACCACACGCCAATATTGTTGACAAAAGAAAATGACAAGAGACGCAAAAATGCAAAAATTAAGCAAAAATAAAGTACTGTTTACCTTTCTAAAATATTTGGGAAAAAAAGGCGAATAGACAACATAAAATTTCTCAATCATTTTTGTTTGAGGAATATTAAAAAAGCCATAATTCCTCCTAAAAGTTCAATTAAAAACAAATGCCCCTTCATGACAAAGCTTCTGTGAAATATTTTGCTGAAAACCTGGTTGCATCGCATTGCGATGTTCCTTGTCTATTCGTTATAACACAGTTAGGCTATTTTGACAGTTTTTAGATATACGGTTACCATGGAAACTGCCATTTTACAAGAAATCCAACACGTCAACATATTTTTAACCAGGTTTTCCGAAGGAAAAATTTGGTTATTAGATTGAGGTATGTCGGCGGGCGGATGGACGGGCGGGTGGGCGGGCGGGCGTAAACAATTTCTTCTGTGCGCAACTCCTTCTACATTTCTCAACGGATTTTGACCAAACTTTCACAGAAGCTTTGTCATCAAGTGCCCTGGCGCATATTGTCGGGGTTTTGCGATTGGATAATATTTGACCTAATTATGGCCCTTTGTTTTTTTTCCTTATATAGAATATATAGTGAACAATTTCTTCTGTGCACAACTCCTACATTTCTCAACGGATTTTGACTAAACTTTCACAGAAGCTTTGTCATCAAGTGCCCTGGGGCATATTGTAGGGGTTTTGCGATTGGATAATATTTGACCTAATTATGGCCCTTTGTTTTTTTTCCTTATAAAGAATATATAGTAAACAATTTCTTCTGTGCACAGCTCCTCCTACATTTCTCAATGGATTTTGACCAAACTTTCACAGAAGTTTTGTCATCAAGTGCCCTGGGGCATATTGTCGGGGTTTTGCGATTGGATAATATTTGACCTAATTATGGCCCTTTGTTTTTTTTCCTTATAAAGAATATATAGTGAACAATTACTTCTGTGCACAACTCCTCCTACATTTCTCCACGGATTTTGACCAAACTTTTACAGAACCTTTGTCACCAAGTGCCCTGGGGCATATTGTTGGGGTTTTGTGATTGGATAATATTTGACTTAATTATTGCCCTTTGTTTTTTTTCCTTATACAGAATATATTGTGAACAATTTCTATCGTGCGCAACTTCTCCTACATTTCTCAACGGATTTTGACCAAACTTTCACAGAAGCTTTGTTATCAAGTGCCCTGGCGCATATTGTCGGGGTTTTGTGATTGGATAATATTTGACCTAATTATGGCCCTTTGTTTTTTTCCTTATACAGAATTATCAATATATAGTGAACAAATTCTTCTGTGCTGAACTCGTCCTACATTTCTCAACGGATTTTGTTCAAACTTTCACAGAAGCTTTGTCATCAAGTGCCCTGGCACATATTGTCGGGGTTTTGTGATTGGATAATTTTTGACCTAATTATGGCCCTTTGTTTTTTTTCCTTATACAGAATATATAGTGAACACTTCTTCAGTGGCAATTCCTCCTACATTATTCATGTTTTACATTGCACATAGTTACATTGTTTGTTGCTTGTATTTGTATTTCAAATACAACATATTTATCTACAATGGTGATAATTGAAAACCTGGTTTCATGGCATTGCCATGTTTCTTGTTTTATTTTTATTTTTAAATTCGTCATTAAATTTTACTCATCATACAAAAAATTTAGAAAATTCTATGAAAGGATTAATTTTTCATAAAACTGTAGAAAATGTCTTTAAGTGTACTACCAATAAAGTGTTGTAAAGTGTACTATACATAGCCATTTTTCCCCTATATAAGTGGTACCCATTCACAATCCCAATTTTCAGACTGGGTCCGACGGACCCGTTCACAATTCGGATGAAATTTCACAATTTCGATTAATTAAGCCTTTAATAATGTATTATTTCCTCTCTTCGCATAATGATGCTAAAATTTTGCGTGTTGTGCTTTGTTTATCTGAAAATGCGTTTAGGCGACCATGATTTCCGTTGCATTCGACCTGTAAATTTTCGTATTATTTAAATACAAATTTTCTAGGGACGAATCAATACCGAAACAAGCGTCTGGCAATTTCTGTAAACATCATAAGCTTTAGATATCGACATTAAGTATGTTTAAGTCAGTCACAAATTATATGTTCGTACTGCTTAATAAGATATTCACAATCTTAAGTAAAAAATTAACATTTTGTTAAGAAACTACGCTTTTTTTTATGGTACCGGACCCATTCACAATTCTGGGAAAAAAATCGCTGATACAAATGTATGTTGAATGTACAATAAAGTGTTGTCTTTAGGTTTGAGTGAGGCAAGGCTAGCATAGGCCAGATTGCATATGATCTGCAGTATTTATTTTATTGTTGTTTATCTGTTCGGACCTGTGAGATAATGAAAATTATTTCGTTCATTCTCAATTTCAGGCCACCACAAAAGAAAGTCGACTGAAGCGAGGTCATCGCCATACCAACGTCCACAGTCTGGAGGTCAAGGTGACAGGCTCACACCCTCTCAGAGTCACACGCATAAACGGGCAAGAATACAGCCAGTGTCGTTACAGAGAGCAGGTACTGGGGAGAGCACGGGTAACTCGTTCACTCCCCCAGATATGCACAGGGCTCCATCTCAAAGCTTTAACACTAACGGACAAGACACTTCTTCAGGAATTAATGTGAAACTGGAATCTAGTGAACAAAGTGTAAGCTCTGTAGACAGTACAAATTATGCCACTACAAGTGTTTCATTTCCAACGTCTCTACAACTAAGTCATACTCAAACGTCGGCCGAGCCGGCAACAAGTGATAATAGTGAAATTCAGAACGACGATGATTTTACGGAACAAACTAGTGAAAATGATGACTCTACAGCAGCTAGTATTAAAATTGAACCAATTACTGAAAATGAGATGGAGTTAGAAATAACTGGCGTTGAGCCAGGAAAGTCGTCAGCGTCGGTAGACTCTTGGGGTCAAGGTCAAATGCCTGGTACCAGTGCAGTTGGTGAAGGTGTTCCCACCGAGGCTGGGGACCAGAGTGGCTACAGTAAGTGTTTTTCTTCCTTGCTTTTGAATTTAAAATGTCATCATGTCTTGCATATAAAGGGAGTTAACTAAAATTATATAGATGTTAAAGAGAAAATGTTACTCCAGGGATACAATACTATCAAAAAAAGTTTGGTTTGTTATTATCAAAGACAGAAGATTACCAAAAATTAGTATTTAATGAATCAAAATTTGTATTGACTACAATAATGCTTTTCCTTTTTGCAATACATGATGACAGTAAGGTAGCTCTAAATGATCAAAGAGATAATTGCTGTAAAAAAACAATACCCCCCCCGCTCATATACATGTACTATAGTCTATATCACTGATTAATGAAAAACATTATTAAGATAAGTTTTAAATTTTTCAAAGGCAAGCTTTCATGATTGTCTGATATCCGTCACACCTTATTGTTCACAACTTCAAGTTGTTTAAAAAATCTTATCTTCCAAATCAATAGTTTTCAATTAAACTTCATAAAAATTATTGTCTTTTATAAATTAATATATAAATTTCTATACTTAATTGGGAAGAGAGGCCTTAGCCACTTGATTTTGGGAAAAAATTTCGCTAAAAGTGCGAAGTAAAAAAGAAGGTTTAAGTTCAGATTTTTTGGGAAAACTGCATGATTTTAAAGAAAACATCAATTGGGAAGAGGCTTTTTATCGAAATCTGTTATATGAGCAGGAAAATCACTAAGTCTCCTACTACTGATAATTGTGGGATTACTAGTCAGTCACTTGTGGGGAAATTTGAAAGTTACAAGTTGAGTTACTCCTGAAGGAGATGTTGTATAGCCCATAGTATGACCAAAAATATGCAGTGTCTATTCTAGGATGCGCGATTGCGCGATTCACGCTAGTATTTCAGAGATCGCGCAATATTCAAAATCATGTGCTTGAAAATCACGCATCTATAAAAAAAGTAAAAAAAAACGTAAAACTTCCATCCCACATTATATTTGGTTGTTTTGTTTACATTTACACCGAAAACCGAAGGGAGGTAACTGTAAGCTAATTATAATAATTAAGTACCGTATGGTATTGGTTACACGAGTTGACGGAAATTAACGGAATGTTCCGTATCGACCGGAACTGGTGTGCTAGGTCTGACAGTTGGACGCCATTTTAGTGTAATAAATAATCAAGAAAAATGAGGCAATTCCTAGCTTGGCTACGATCTAGACGTGAAAGATAGGCCGATTATTTGTATTGCCAATCCCTTTATAATCAATCGCGGCAGTTCTGTAATAATATGTTTTCGTTTAAAAATTAAGGGGGGACAACTTCTGCTGTGCCTTAAATAAATATTATTGTTTTAATTATTTCATCCGTTGAATGCCTCAGTGTAAACTTAATGCAGATGACTTAACATTGGCAGTTTATATTAGCACCCCTTGATTTTGAAAATCGCCCCCTTTTTTGAAAAAGAGGGGGGAAAATCACCCCTATTTTTCAATTCCTAGAATAGACACTGAATATGTACATCAGTGGAATAAAACCAGACAAACAAATAATCTATCATAAATTGATGAATTTGAATATAAAATCTTTAAAAAGAATTTTTTCCAGTTTTTGTCATAGAGAAACTACCTGAAAAAAATCTTCTTGTCAGAAACATCAAACATAGAGCTTGCCTATTGGTTCTGAAGCATTATCTAACAAAGTTAAAAAACAAAGAAATTGTAGACCTTAAGGTCAAGAATCTTTCTATACTTAAAATGTTTGAACTTTTTATCCACCAGTTAATTAAACCAGATGAGCAACCATTTACACAGTTGAGCAATATAGACCCATGTGGGCCCCTTGCTTCTGAAAATAAGTAGGGTCAGTGTATTTTTTCAGCACTCTACCATTTAGAGCTACTGTAAAAAGCTTTATATGTAGGAATCAGAAGGTGAAATGACTCGGACAACAACTTTGTTGATTTTGTTAAAATGAATCTGTCACAAATACTTTAACAAGGGCTTTTTGCTACAAGTAGGCAAAGCTGCCTTCCCTAAACTTCGAGGAAATATAACACAAAATTTTTGCAAAAGGGAAGAAAAAACTTGAAGTAAATCGAGTTTTAGGGGAAAACTACAAAATTTTAAAGAATTTTCCTGTTAGGTAGTTGCTGGCTAGTAAACAGGCTATGCGGTGGAAGGGAAAGCTGTAATAAGAATTAAAATTAAGAAAAAAAAAAACAATCAAAATCGCTTTTCATTGTATCATAGACACTGTTAGTGTTATATTTTACAGGTTAAGACAAAAATATTCTACTTAATGTTGTGACAGCTATGCTTCAGTTTGGCTGAACATTGTTTAAATAACATTCAAGCTAAACATAAAGAGTTTTCTCCCCTTCTGATTTCTATAAACTGATCATGATATTATATTATAATATATATATACATTTTCAATTTTGTATATAATATTATGCAATGTTTTGTTGACTGAAGTAAATTTGTGCGAATTCTATATATACATATGAAAGCATTGAATATGTCAGCATATACATGTATATAATAAATTTGCCTTTTTCATATTATTATACATGGATAGTTTCAAACAGAAATTCAACCCCGTAGAATCTTAATTTTTATTTTCAATAGCATTACAATGTTTTCATATGTGTATTGTGTAGGTCATTTAAACTTTAACTGGACGATGCAATGCTTTATAATATCAGTGCATTCTTAGTAATATATTTTATTTATATTATACATTTGTATGCAACATATGTTTATCCAGGGTTGTCCGCAGAACTGTTGTAAATTTGTCTGTATTTCGTTTAAGTTATTGCATTTTTGCGATCAACCCTAGAAATTTTAGGTAAATAATTGTAGTATAAAATGATCATATGGGCATTCTCCGGTTAAAGTTTGAAAAATCATATACTATTATAATTATATAAAGTTCTGATATTTGACAAATTTAAAAGTGAGTATTAACTGAGTTCATTGTTATATGATGCACACATGTCACTTTAAAGCTAATCCTAATAGTTGTGATCGGGAACTCGGCAAATGTTTTCCATGCTAATCCCCCGGTACAAAAAAACTTTGACCATTATAGCTTCACGGTGCACCACCGGTCACAATAGATAAGTCAACCCATTTCACTTTTTTTTCGAGGCTGTAACTGTAGAAGTTTGTTTGTACCCCCGGATTAGCTTGGAAAAACCCAAAATAACCTTTATTCCGGAGTAAATCTATTATTATACATTTCTACATGTATATACATTGTACATTGTATGTATGTATATATATATATGTATGTGTTAGTTAAATAAATTAAGAATTGTTTCCTGTTCCTTATGTTGATTTATTATATGGCTATAGACTGCAGTAAGATTTTACTCTGCTTATATACTATATTGTATGATTATATAAGAAAAAAAAACTTACAGAATGTAGCTTTATTGATATAAGTATGAAAGCGTTGTATTTTGAAAAGCTTAAACTCTTAGTCTTATAAATGATAATTTGTAATAGGTCTGCAAAATTATTCAATGAGAGAATCTATAAAGTTACAAACCCCCTCCCCCTTACACACATCTCAGTTGTTTTTTCTTTGAGCTTGCTTCTTCATTGTCCTTTTAAAATAAATACAGATGTTATCCCGAACTTGGCAAAGGTGGGTTTTTCCAAGCTAATCTGAAGGTACGAACAAACTTTTATAACCGTTATAGCACCACGGTGCACTAACGGTCACAATAGATTAGTCAACCTGTTGCTCTTATTTTCGAAGCTGTAACTGTAGAAGTTTGTTTGTACTGTAAAAAACCCAAAATAATTTAATATTCTTAATTCCGGAGTATTAGTATTAGTCTAATAGTATGCATTTGTATTTTGAGGTCTATGGATCAATACATTATGATGCAGGTTTAGGAGGGTACATGACTGTACACTCCAGTGTTACCCGGGGAACAGTACTGTGGTAGTATAATGCACTAGTCAGTGATTTGTTACAGTCACTGTTTTGGCCATTATGAAAACACACTTGCGATATCTGTATACAACTTGATATCGAATGCTTAGAAATTGAAAAATGTGAAATGTTAAACTTTGCATATATGTACATGTATAAACAGGTTCTTTCAATGATCTACATAAGGTTTTAATATCTGAAATTTCCAAATGGAAATCAGTACCTCTAAGTTTTCCCAATTGTTGAATGAAAATTCACAATCAAAATGGTTGATTTTTGCAAAACTTGTTTGAGCTGCCAGCTGTTTTCATCTTAGTTTTATGTGCATGAAAATGAATCTAATTGGACATACAGTGTACCCACATATAAATACCTAATCTTGAGCAAAATAATACTAAATCTCACACTCCAAAGGGTATATTATTATATGTGTTTTGTTAACATTAATACTAAAAAACAAAATACCATAACACACTTATTAAGAGACTTTTCTTATTGCGTAATACAGACTTCCATAAAATGGTACAGAACATTCAGACTGATAATCTCTAAAAATTGGTATTTAGTTATTGTAATGAGTTGCTTTTCGAACTCTGAACTTTTCGTGTTTATCATTGTTTGTATGAATCAGATCTTCTAAGGGCTTTATAAACACGGACTAGATAATGTGCCCCTCATAATAAAGGGTAACTGTCTCGATGGGACATAATTGAGAACATTATAATGAAAAAACTTTGACGAAGATTTCAATTAAGATACAGCATATATATGATAATAACAAACCAAGATCGGAAGTGGACAGTACTGGTCAGTGGACAGTACTGGTCTTTAGAAGAAATGATGTCGCATGGACAATCTATCAACAGGTGGGTATCTTAGTTTAAGTTTTGTCTTATTTTTTCTTGCTTTACTATTATGATATAAAAGGAACAGGAAACGTTAAAGAAGATAGTATTTTTTAGGTCTTTTGTAAAAGAAGAAACAATATTGTAATTGTGTGGCCTAATGTTGATTGATTGACTCGAAGTACTTGTATGTAAATTGGTTGGTTAATAAAATTACTAATTCTGAATATCCAATACAATTA